GTGTCTTTAAGTGTTTCAGAAGGTTTTCTAAGCTTAATAGTTTAGAAGCTTCACAAGACATCAAACAATTTGTTTGAATTGTCATTTATTACCAAGAGTCTTGTCTGTTCTAAGCAAGAAAATGAACATTCTGTATCTTTATTCAAAGAGGTTCAAGTTAATCATTTCCTCTTAAGGGAAATGACTTGAAGACTTGGCTCAGAAGATCAATACTTTGAGTTATCTATTAGAAGGTTTTAGTTAAAAACACAACTTTTTAGAAAACTTATATTGAGGTCTTTGCACATAAGGTTTAAAGAGAAGATCTACTCAAAAGCTATCTCATCTAAAGAGAAAGTTGATATTATTACAAAAGGCAAAGTACAATGATGTCAATTTTGCTTGAAAACTAAGCTAGTCACAACAGATCTATTTCAACGGTTATAAAAGGAAGACTAAGACTATATTTTGGAAACAAGCAAGATCAAAGAGAGTAATCAAAACATAAATTGACATAGTTGTAATCTTTTTTCATACTCTGATTTGTTAAAAGATCTCCACTACAATATTTTGTATCAATCTTATAATAAATAAAAGAAGTGTGAATCTTCCTTAGTGGAAGCTTCTTTATAGGAAAATCTATTATAATCTTAGCTATGTCTAAGTTTACAAAATCTTTATATGTAAAACCTTTCCTACCCAAATCTAAGTGTATAGAGGTGTAGAAAGGTAGAAAGGAATCACAATAATGATTGTGTAATCTCATAGTAGGTAGCTATGAGGTTGTTTCACCTAATAGGTTGTTGGATGTGGAAATCTCAACAGGTGGTTGAGTGTATATCACTAATAGTTGGTGGCTGTATAGTGAAGTTCTTGTATCAATAGGTGATTGAGTTGTTCTTATACAATAGTTGACTGTGATAATGAAAATCCTACAAGTTATACCATGCTATCAAGTTGATATTAATTTTATTAGAAAATTAAGATATTTATCTAGAACTTCTTTTTTGTTCTTAAAAGTTGATTTTACTACCTACTATTTTTAAAAGTTACAAAATTATAGTATTTTACCTTAATAACAACTTGATCTTTGCTCACTAATTTGATCATAACTTGAGTTCTAGATCTCCTTTTTGAGTTATTTTAGCACCATTACAAAGCTAATATCCAAGGATACAATTCTTATGAATACCATGAAACTTAATTCGGTTATATAAGGGTCCTCACAAGACTTACGAATTGTAGACATTACTTTTTGTGTACAAAACGTGAGACTCATCTTGTGACTCACACAACTTAGTAGTTTCTTAACATTTTTATGTGATTCTTGAGTTTAAACTATAACCCTGAATGTCTAATTTCTAACCTAACAAATGAAACTCTATTTAGTTAATCATATAGAAAGAAATCACCCATATATTGAGACATTTTCATACTAAAGTTTTCATAATTAAACAAATCACGCCAAATTTCAAATCATATATCTAACCCTAACCCCCAATATACAAAGCCATTCAAATCAATCATCACAATTCATGAATTTACTAAGGCAAGGTAATAGATCAATTTAAGAACATATAAATATGCATCCACAATAATTCAATTAACATCTTAAGAGGCTTAGGGTCATCTCACTACCCATATCTCTCACGCGCGTCCACAAATGATACATTCTTACTCTCTCCTTACCTTGAGCGACAATTACACAATATTATGCACTCCTTGTAATGTTAGTTGCTATTCTGCACTCTCTTTAGTAGCCTCTTTTAAGTTCCCTCTACAGGTGCTCTTAGAATTTCAGAAGGATGCATAAGAAAATATAACCCTTGTTTTTGTTTTTTAAATCCTTCAAGTTGGGTCTAAAGTCTAACCCAAACTCTTCTTCCTTTCCTCACTCCCTTATTATTTTATTTAATTAATCAAAATATTATTTATATTACAAACTTAATTAATTAATTAATTAAACCTATAATATTATTGAAAGAAATTTATTTTATTTCAAAAAATCTTTGATGTTACACAAAACAAACATACAAAAAAATGACCTATTTTTTTGTTTTTGTTTTCAGTAAACCTTTAAGTTGGGTTCTCTCCATTTACAACACATTTTATTTTTTATTTTATTTAATAAAAATACTTTAATTATATTATGAACCCAATTAATTAATTAATTAAGTTAGAAAATATATAATTATTTTACCAAACACTTGTGTTATTTTATTTATAAAAACCAGGATGATACATTTTATGTTTTCCTAAAACGCATATCTTTTCCTATTTTTAATGAACTTTGATCTTAGTCCAAATATCTGCAAACAACTAAACTCGTAAAGATTCTTTAACTCTTATAATTATAATGAACTTTGACCTATACTCATTCAAAGTATTGGTTTAATTATAACAAAATTTACTAATTTAAAAAGATGATACAATTATTCAATACAACCAGATTAATACTAATACAATTATTTGTTTATTTATATTAATAATATATATATATATATATATATATATATATATATATAAATTTTTATTATATGATATTATATAAATAAATAGGTTGATCTATTAGATATAATAAACTTTTTTATAAACCTAAATTTAATTTTTTTAAATAAATATTTTTTTAAAGGTTTAAACCTGATCTTTTAATAAAAAGACTAATTCAAGTTAGACTTTAAAGAGATTAAACTATAATTTTTTTTATTGAAAATTTAACTTATTCTCATCCTTAATTGTACTCACAAATCTATTAAGTTCATTTTATATAATTGAATTTAATGTTTTAATTTTTATAATATATTCAAAGAAATTAAGCTTTTATTGGTTAGGAAATACTTGAATAATAAAAAAAGAACTTTGGTGTATAGAGGACAGATTTGTACAAATTTATAATTTTTTTTTTGATAGAAACTAGCAGCACGATTTAGCACTTTAAAGTTTACCATTAAGCATTTTTATTTTTGTTTAACATTAAAACAGAGTTGAAAGTCGAACCATTGTGAAAGAAATTCATGCGCAATACACATGTATAGAAATAATAATTTTTAATTAAAGTTGTTAGAAAATAATCGATCTAATATTAAGAGCAACTTTAATGGGAGTTGCTTGTCCCATGAAGCAATTCAAGTCCTGATTTTTTTGTCACATGAGTTGCTTCCTCAAGCAACCGTTACTTACCAGATTTTAAGTAGATCTTATGGAACGTTTCGAAAATAATAATGATGAAAATTAATTTCGTATAATGTTTATGTAATTACTATTGCTTTATTTTATTTTTAATATCTACTTATATTATGTATTTTTTTTCGTAATTTATTTTCTTTCATTGTAGTGCAATTATCCTATTCAATAAAAATTTAAATTTGGTTCATAAATAATTAGAAAAAAATTTCTAAAAGTTGAATTTCTTAAAGTTCCTTGTTATTGAAGTAAATTAGTGTTTGAGTTGCTTAATGCTGACATGACACACCGGAAATCACTTTTTTCATTTTTTAATGCATAAAATAACTCAAATAAGTTGCTTCTATTGGAATGCCTTAAGTATTTATTTAATAATTTTTATAACATAAATGTAGTCATAAATTTATTCCAATATAATAAAAAATTGTTTATAAAATTCATAAATTATTTTATTGATGAATTAAATAATTTTCTTTTATAATTTTTTCGAATGTTTCTAAAATTATGAAAGGAATTTGGTATCAGTGAAAATTTTCCCGTGAATCATGCCCACAATAAATTAATGTTTTCAAAACTTTTGATTCGACATCTGAAAAGTATAAAATATATTTTTTATTAATATTAATCATATATATATATATATATATATATATATATATTTTAAGATATTTATTAATTATACAACAATTTTTTTTCCTCCAAAAACTTTCATCTTACTTTCTTCCAAAATACAATAAAAATATTATATTATACTTTTTTATTAATATTTCAAAATAAAAGAAAAAAATAAATATCAATTTTAATTATAACTTTAATATCTATCTATATCTATTATAAAAGAGATATATTTTAATAATCATTTTTTTAATAATTTTATCTTTAATTTTTAAAATTATTTATCTATTTAAAAATTTTAAGTTTTTTAATAATTATTTTACCTCTTTTCTTATTAGTCGGTAAAAAAATTGTTGTAAAAAAACTAATACAAAATATTATTATAATACTTAATATATTTTATAATTTTAGTGTATTTCCTGGTTCCAGATTATATTATATATTAATTAAATATATATAATTATTTTAAATATAAAATGAGTAATATCTTTGAATTTTTTTTTAAATAATATCTATATCTATACTAATTAAACTATATTATGTAGTCGATACCAATTTTTATTATGAAGAAAATTTTTGTATATAGCTTTAATAATCGTTAAGATACTAAAATTGTTTCTTAAAATAAATATATTTTTAGATAAATTTTTATTTTTATTTTTTACTAATATATAATAGAATATATATATATATATATATAATAACATAAATTTAAAAAAACAAAAATATAAAATAATAATTACATTAATTTTAAATTATTTTTTATTTTGATGTAAAAATAATTATAAAATTCACACAAAAATGTTAATTATTAAAAATTGGCATAATATTAAAAAAATAATAACACACTAATAAAATTAGAATTAAAAACTTTTCAAAATAAATTTAGAAATTTACTTACAGTTATGCTAAAAGAAATTATGATATATTTTATTTTATTTACTTACATTTATAAGAGTATATTTTGATATATATTTTACATTTAAAGATATTTTGATATTAAAGTGATAGATAATTATATTATTTTTTTAATTAAATAAGAAAATATATTTAATAATAAATTATTGTGAAAATATACTTGAAAAAAAAATTCTGTATAACACAGGGTTCACACAACTAGTAATACCAATCCTAATAGAGTTTGGCAAATTACAGATATTTGTAGACATTTGTTAAGGAAATAGGAGAAAAGATAAAATGTTGTAGAACATTCGGTGGGGGACATGTGTAGATTAGTGGATCCTATTCCAGAGTTTGTGTTGTACGTGGTTTCAGCTAATGAATTGCATGCAAAGATGTTGACACGTAGGGTATGAAGATGACATTTGACATGATGTAGTCCTTGCATCAGAAGATATATAAAGGGGTAGTAGGCCACAAATATTGAACACGTACTCTCCAAGCATTTGAGACAAGTTAACCAAAGGAAAGAGTGATACAGGTGCAGGAGATGCAGTGAGAGGAGTGGTGGTATGTGACAACAAGTGTGGTTGCACCGTTCCATGCCCTGGTGGTGCCACTTGCAGGTCTCTTTCTTAGTATATAATTTCATCAAACTAAAGTAACCTATTTCATTAATTGTTGTATTAACCTATGTTATGTCATACGTAAATAAATGAGTTGTTTTTGTGATCAAAGGTGCAGTAGCTCTGGAACTGCATCGGGAGGGGGTGGTCACGTGACATGCTCGTGCGGAGAGCACTGTGAGTGCAACCCATGCTCGTGTTCTAAGACTGTGGCTGCTGGAAGTGGTTGCAGATGTGGTGCAGAATGCGCCTGTGCCTCATGTCGCACCTAATATCTTTTTAAATACAAAATATAAATTATAAAATTTTCTCATAGTGCTTCTATGTTTTTATTTAAATAAACGTCTAATCTTTTATCTGAATAAACACTTAGTGTCACACCTTAAGTCTCACATTTTATAATTTATGTATTAGTGAGTTGTGGTTGGTTTTTTAGTTAGCACTTGGTACTGAGGAGTTTCCCTTTGCAATAGGCATAACATGCTGTTATGCTTATGCCCAGTTTGTATACTTGAAAACAAATCAATAATGAATGAGAATATAATAGTAGTTTTTTAAGTATTTTTGGAGAGACTCTGCTTTCTTTACAATTAATTAAATCTGCTAATGTATGATTGAAATCCTAAACCCTACACTTCCAACACTAAGTGATGGGTAGGCCCTAGTGAGTAGGGGCAGGGGCCTAAATGAGCAGGGATAATTTGCGAATCTGAATTGAATCAAATAATCCAAATTAATCTAATAAATTTGGATTATTTGACTTGATCCAAATGATCCCAATGGTTCAAATGATTTGAATTGGTTGGGTTTTAATGTTTTAATATTTACTAGGTTAGATTGAATTTAATCCAACACCACTATATGAATCAGATCCAACCAATATATAATAATAATAATATTAATTATTAATATTAATATTAGAATGATTATTTGTTTTAAGATAATACTGACTTAATTTTATGAGTGGGACTTAATTTAATCAATTTAACCACGGACCGATTTTATATTTTTAATTTAGTTATATATAATAATAATAATAGTAATAATAATAATAATATTTAATTTAATTTGATCATTATATGAGTCGGATTTTATGTTTTCAATTCAATAATATAAATAATAATAATAATAATAATAATAATAGTAATAATAGAGATTATAACATATAAGTTATGAGATGGTGTATAATTATAAAAAAATAATATTAAACAAAAAAAAATGAACATTGATTACAAAAATAAGAGTTAATATTGTCGATAAAGTGAACATTTAATTTATTTTTTATATATATTTTTGGTTTAAATATGTTTTTAGTCTCTTAAATTTAAGATAAATTTATTTTTGGTTTCTTAAATTAAAAATTGTTATTTTTGGTCCTACAATTTTCAAAATTATTATTTTAATTTTTTAGGTCACCAATAACATATTTGAAAGTGAAAAATTAAAACAGTTATATAATATTAATCGGATTTAATATGATATTTTCACTAACAAGGATAATAATAGATAAATTTTATATAATAATGTTTGATAAATTTTTTAACAAAATTTAAATATAAAAATTAAAATAAGAATTTTTTTGAAATTATAAAAACTAAAAATAATAATTTTAATTTTTAAGAAAAAAAATAAAATTTATCCTAAATTTAAGAAATTAAAAACATATTTAAATCTAACATAAAAGTAAAAATGTAAAAAAAAAAAAAAAATTATTTTAGAATTAAATTTGTATTATTTTTTTTATAAATTGGTAATATTATATTTATTATGATGTATCAAATGATTTAAATTTATTTTAAAATATTTAAATTTTTTATAAAAAATAAATAAATTTAATTATGACTTCTAATCTAAGCTAGTTTGTTTGTGATTGAATTAGATTAAATTGAATTTAAAAAAAAAATTGCAGAAACATGATACAATTTAATTTTTTAAATTTTTTTAATCCGCTTACTTTCCTATCCTCAGTGTCAGTGGCGGTCATTGTTTTTGGTTAAGGCTGGAATGAGTGGAGATCGATTTATCAATTATGTTTTCTTTTTGTCATTTTGAGCGTATGACTTGTTCCTCTCATGTATTTTAATGTGCTTTATTGTAGTGGTTGGAGTTTTTCCCTTCTGAAAAAAAACTTCCAACTCCCAGTAGGATAAATAATAATGTCAATTATTTTAGATTTAGTTTATTTGTAGATTAAATAATAATCTCAATTATTTTAGATTTATTTTATTTTCACTTTTTACGAAATTGTGACCTTGAAAAAAGTGCTTCTTTATTATTTTTAAAGAGACAGTTATTTTTTTTTATCTTTAAATGTAAATTGGTATATATTATTTTTATTTTTTCTTTAAATGTAAATTAGTAAAAAAAAAAAAAAAACTTAAGGATATAGTTGTTGAAAAATTGTTTTTAAGAAAATTTATAGATATATACCTTTATAAAATAATAATTCTATGAAGGTGTGCGAGAGGTTTTCATATTTGAGAAATAATAGTGTCTAAACTCAACAAAACAAATAGGTATATGATTTAAGATAAGAGAATTGTTATTTTAAATAGAGATAGAAGTTCTACCGTTCTTTCATATATTTTCATATATTTAAAGGGTTTTGGAATTTTTTTAATACATGAACAGTTAGAATTGTTTAATTTTTAAGGTATTTATTTTTTTATTTAAATATATATTAAAAATTCTTAATATATTATGAGTCATGCTGGATTAAACTTTTTTCACATTTGTGTGTAAGTTATGAGGAGCAATTTGAATAAAAAGTTTATAAAATTCTTTATTATTTTAATAAATAATTAACTATCCATTGACCATTAATGGTTAATAAGTATATTTTTATTAGAGAAAAAGTATATACATTACTCATTATAAAAGTTTTAACGATGGTTAATAATTATACTTTTATTGGAAAGAAAAACTTATACATTTCTCATTATGTACACAGTTTCCCGAGGGTAGTTTAGAAATTGCGTTGGACTCCTAAATGGGGGAGGCCTAATTTTGTTTTAATATCTTATATATTTCAAGAAAAAAATATCTTATTTCTGTAAAAATTTTAAATCATGTTGTATTTTTAAAATTCGTGTTAAAAAATATATCATTCATTTTATTTATTTTTATTATTATAAAAAAGAATTGTTATTGAGTTTAGTATTAAATAATGGCTCTAATATATATATATATATATAATATTTTGACATAATTTTCTTTACATAATAATATATTATATCCACTTATGATGTATATGTATTTACCAAAACCTGCATTTAATATTTGAAAAAACTGTTTCAAAAATAAAAATTACACTACATATTATTACTATATTTGCCTTTTCTAAAATTATATTAAGCAACTAAGTTTTTAAGTTTAGTTGTAAAATTTGGGATATGTGTAACACCCTGATTTTCACAAATTAGATAAAGGCTTAAAGCCCAATAAGAATAATTTAGTAGCCTAAAACGGACCGTTCTCAAATTGGAACAACCCGTTCCAAACTACTAAAAAGGCTTATAAATCCTAGATTGGAACGGGCCATTCTAGCACATGCTATTATGAGTAAATTTTGAACCTAAAATTTAACCTAGAATGGGCCTTTTCACTTTGGGAACGGGTCGTTCCAAAGATGGTCGTTATGAGTTAAAACCCAACTCTAGAACGGGCCGTTCTAGTTTTAGAATGGACCATTCCAGATGTGAATTTAAAACATGACGAATGAATCCAGAATGGGCCATTCCAGATCCGAAACAGGACATTTTTTTACTTTTGACTTCTTTTTCTTCTACACTTTCTGACGACCAAGGGGAACCTAGAGGAGGAGACCAACCAGATCCTACTTTAGTTTCAGCTACTGCTTATCAAGGTATGGAAGAAAAAGAGATTATTTGAATGCAAAGTTACATGAGAGAATTGGGTAGAGGAGGAATCCTGTAGGATTATAGGTGATTTTATAATTATTTTTGTTTGAGGAATTGGTCATCCCATTAAATTTTGCAAGTAATGAGGGTTATGAATATGTAAATAATTTGTAAAAATGATGGTCTGGGAGAGAGAACGAAATTGTAGAAAAGTGCTTGCGAGTTAGGTTTTGGAAAAATTGGGGGGTCTTAACTTTAAATTGGTGATTCAATCGAGTTTTATATTGATTTATAAATGTTATTGTTATATTATTTGGTAAAATTGATGATCTAGATGATAATTGGATTCATTGGGATGTGCTCATGTCATGGCTTAATTGTTCAATTAATTATGATATGAGTATGTTGGCATGAAATGAGACGTGTTGAATGTGAATATGATATGATTGTGTTTCCTCACACTTAAGTTGGCGTGACATGACCTTGGGCAAGAGATGCTACAGGGGTGGTGTGAGCATGACATAGTGTGGGATGTGTGAGGCAATTAACATATATGTCGGTGTGACACGACCTTGAGCAAGAAATGCTACAGGGTGGTGTGAGCATGACATAGTGTTAATTGCAAGTTTTGTGATGATTGTGAATGAAATATGATTGTGGTTCCTCACACTTATGTCGGCATGGCACGACCTTGAGCAAGAGATGATACAGGGGTGGCGTGAGCATGACATAATGTGGGATGTGTGAGGCAATTAACATGTATGTCAGCGTGGCATGACCTTTGTCAAGAAATGCTATAGGGGTGGCGTGAGCATGGCATAATTTTAACTACAAGATTTATGTGTGGCAATTAGTATTTATGTTGGTGTGGCACGACCTTGGGCACGAGATGCTACAAGGGTGACATGAACTTAACATAGTACAAATTATATGATGTGATGGATTGGCGTGATTGTGAATTGTGATGTGAAGATGATGCATGATTGATAGAATTAGGATATATATAGAAATGGTTGTAAATATTTCATTAAGTAATGAGTTATGATGAGATTATGTTGTGATTTTTCCTTGTGTGCTTTACATATAAATGTTTTCTTTTCTCACCATACAATTTTTTGATGTTTTAGGTGAGGAAGATCCGACTATGAGTGGCATCCAGGATGCCAACAGTTGAGTTGTGTGTGTGCTATGATATTATGACATCGGGGTAAAAGATTTCTAGGACACGAATTTTTATATGTATTTGGAGTTGTACTTATTATTTTGAAAAAAATTTGTAAACTCTTAGGTTTTTCTTTTCAACTATTTTGGATATTGAACAACACTTATGAAGATTTTATGTGAACCCTTTTTACCAATGTTGAAAAATTTATTCGTTAGTTTTATTTACATTATTACAATATATGTGTTGGGGGTAGTAAGGGTGTCACATTTAGTGGTATCAGAGCAAGTCGATTCAATGGGCCGTGAGTTATGAGTATGCTATGCTTGTTTGGTAGATGAATGAATGATGGAATGAATTGATTGTGGAACTTATTGATATGCTAGTGTGATGATTGATTATGTTTGTTGTTTATTTAATTGTGTGTATTGTTTTATCAGAATTTGGCTAATAGACATGACATTGCTTAGATGATACTATTTATGATTGCTTTTCTTCATTCTTATGATTGCTTATTTGTTTGATACTTCTTGCTTACA